ATCCTCACCATCCTCATCCTGATCCCCCTCATCCTCATCAAATTCATCCTCACCCCGTCATCCCCATCATTGTTATCCTCACCCCCATCATCCTCCTCATCTTCATCCTCACCCTCATTATCCTCCTCCTCATCACCTTCATCCTCCTCACCATTATTATCCTCACCCCCATCATCCCCTATCATTGTTATCCTCATCCCCATCATCCTCCTCTTCATCATCATCTTCATCTTCATCCTCATCATCATTATCCTGATCCCCATCATCCTCCTCCTCATCATCATCTTCATCCTCATCCTCACCATTGTTATCCTCATCTCCATCATCCTCCTCATCATCATCATCTTCATCCTCATCCTGATCATCGTTATCCTGATCCCCATCATCCTCCTCATCATCATCCTCATCCTCACCAACTTCATCCTCACCCCGTCATCCCCTATCATTGTTATCCTCATCCCCATCATCCTCCTCTTCATCATCATCGTCATCCTCCTCACCAGTGTTATCCTCATCTCCATCATCCTCCTCTTCGTCATCATCTTCATCCTCACCCCGTCATCCCCATCATTGTTATCCTCACCCCCATCATCCTCCTCATCTTCATCCTCATCCCCATCATCCTCATCATTATCTTCATCCCCATCATCTTCATCCTCACCCCCATCATCCCCACCATTGTTATCCTCATCCCCATCATCCGCCTCTTCATCATCATCTTCATCTTCATCCTCATCATCATTATCCTGATCCCCATCATCCTCCTCCTCATCATCATCATCTTCATCCTCACCCCCCTCATCCTCACCAACTTCATCCTCACCCCATCATCCCCTATCATTGTTATCCTTATCCCCATCATCCTTCTCTTCATCATCATCTTCATCCTCCTCCTCACCATTGTTTCCTCATCTCCATCATCCTCCTCTTCATCATCATCTTCATCCTCATCCCCATCTTCCTCCTCCTCATTTCATCCTCATTCCTGTCATCCTCCTTCTCCTCATCTTCATTCTCAACTTCATCCTCATCCTCATCATCCTCCTCATCCTATCATTTATCCTCATCCCCATCATCTTCCTCCTCCTCATCTTCATCCTCCTCCCTCCTCACCATCATTATTCTCACCCTCATCATCCTCCTCTTCTTCATCCTCATCCCCATCATCCTCCTCTTTCTCATGATCTTCATCCTCATTCTCATCACTCTCCTCCTCATCATTATCGTCCTCCGCTTCTTTATTCTCCTCATCCTCATCATCCTCATCTTGCTCTTCTTCCTCCTCCACCTCCTCCTTTCTCCTCTTCCTCCTCCTCTTCCTTATCCTCATCTTCCTCATCTTCATCCTCATCCTCATCCTCATCATCCTCATCATCATCTTCATCCTCATCCCCATCATCCTCCTTCTCATCTTCATCCTGCTCTTCCTCCTCCTCCACCTCCTCCTGTCTCCTCTTCTCCTCCTCTTCCTTATCCTCTTCATCATCATCATCATCCTCATCCCATCCTCCTCCTCACCGTCATTATCCTCATCATCTTCATCCTCATCATCACCTTCCTCCTACTTCTCCTCATCATCTTCATCCTGCTCTTTTTCCTCCTCTACATCCTTTCTCCTCTTTCTCCTCTTCCTCCTCTTCTTCCTTATCCTCATCTTCCTCATCTTCATCCTCATCCCCATCACCCTCCTCCTCCTCCCCATCCTCATCTTCATCCTCATCCCCATCATCCTCCTCATCATCATTATCGTCCTCCGCTTCTTCATTCTCCTCATCCTCATCATCTTCACCTTGCTCTTCTTTCTCCTCCACCTCCTCCTTTCTCCTCTTCCTCCTCCTCTTCCTTATCCTCATCTTCCTCATCTTCATCCTCATCCCCATCATCCAATCCTTCTCATCTTCATCCTGCTCTTCCTCCTCCTCCACCTCCTCCTTTCTCCTCTTCCCTTATNTTTTTTCCGGCTCTCACCTGCAGATCCAAGGCTTTGGAGGAGAAGGCTGGAATGTGGCAGGACAGGATGGGGCACCAGAAGGGCGCTCGGCTCTTCCTGTCCTCGTCGGGGCAGAGCCAGCCCGGCTGGTTCTCATCCCCTGCGGAAAACCGGGAACACCGGGATCACCCCAAATCCCCCTCTGGGATCCATCCCCACCCCAATCCACCGCTTCCCATGGAGCTGGGATCTGTCCCATCCCATTGGAATTATTGCAGTGTGGAGGGGGGAAAAAAATCCCAAATAAACAAATTTATGGGAAAAAATTCCATTGTAAGGCATTCCCTGACGTCAGGTTGGGATGGGGGTTCTGGCTCGTGGATATGGGATGTCCAACCTCAGAAAGCTCCCAAACCTTCCCCAAAACCTTCCCAACCTCCTTCAAAACCTCCCAGATCTCCCCAAACTTTTCCAAAACCTCCCAAACCTTCTCCAGAAGCTCCCAAATGTCCTCCAAAACCTCCAAAACCCTCCCCAAAACCTTCTCCAGAACCTCCCCAAACTTCCCCAAAACCTCCCAAACCTCCAGAACCTCCCCAACATTCCTCAAACTTTTCCAAACTTTCTCCAGAACCTCCCCAGCCTTCCCAGAAAATTCCCAAGCCTTCTCCACAAGGTTCCCCAAAGCCCCCAGACCTTCTCCAGAACATCCCCAAACCTCCAGAACGTCTCCAACATTCCCCAAACTTTTCCAAACCCTCTCCAGAACTTCCCCAAACCTCCAGAACCTCCCCAACATTCCCCAAACCTCCAGAACCTTCCCAGCCTTCTTAGAACCTCCCGAAAACCTTCTCCAGAACCTCTCCAACATTCCCAAAACTTTTCCAAACATTCTCCAAAAACCTCCCCAAGCCTTCACCAGAACCTCCCCAAAATCTTCTCCAGAACCTCCCCAACCTTCCCAGAAAATTCCCAAACCTTCTCCACAAGGTTCCCCAAAGCCCCCAGACCTTCTCCAGAACCTCCCCAAACCTCCAGAACCTCCCCAACATTCCCCAAACTTTTCCAAAGCTTCTCCAGAACCTCCCCAACATTCCCAGAAAATTCCCAGACCTTCTCCACAAGGTTCCCCAAAGCCTCCCAAATCTTCTCCAGAAAATCCCCAAACCTCCAGAACTTCCCCAACCTTCCCAGAAAATTCCCAAATCTTCTCCAAAAGCTTCCCCAAAGTCTCCCAAACCTTCTCCAGAACCTCCCCAAACCTCCAGAACCTCCCCAACATTCCCCAAACTTTTCCAAACTTTCTCCAGAAACTCCCCAAACCACCCCAAAGATTCCCCAAACTTTTCCAAACCTTCTCCAAAAACCTTTCAAACGTTCTCCAGAACCTTCCCAACCTTCTCAGAAAACTCCCAAGCCTTCTCCACAATCTTCCCCAAAGCCTCCCAAACCTTCTCCAGAACCTCCCCAAACCTCCAGAACCTCCCCAACATTCCCCAAACCTTCTCCAGAGCCTCCCCAAACCTCTGGAATCTCCTCCCCAACATTCCTCAAGTTTTTCCAAACCTTCTCCAGAGCCTCCCCAACCTTCCCAGAAAATTCCCAGACCTTCTCCAGAAGGTTCCCTAAAGCCCCCAGACCTTCTCCAGAACCTCCCCAAACCTCCAGTACCTCCCCAACCTTCCCAAAAAATTCCCAAACCTTCTCCACAAGGTTCCCCAAAGCCTCCCAAACCTTCTCCAGAACCTCCCCAACCTTCCCAGAAAATTCCCAGACCTTCTCCAGAAGGTTCCCCAGAGCCCCCAGACCCTCTCCAGCCCTCCCC